AAAGCTAGAAATAGAAATACCATATGATCCAGCAATCCCACTCCTAGGAATATATCCTAGAGAAATAAGAGCCATCACACGAATAGACATATGCACACCCATGTTCACTGCAGCATTGTTCACAAGAGCAAAAAGATGGAAATAACCCGGATGCCCATCAACAGGTGAATGGATAAACAAACTATGGTACATACACACAATGGAGTACTATGCAATGATAAAGAACAATGATGAATCTGCGAAGCATCTCACAACATGGATGAAACTGCAGGACATTATGCTGAGTGACATAAGTCAATCACAAAAGGACAAATACTGTATGAGACCACTACTATAAAAACTAACGAGAAAGTTTACACACAAAAAGAAACAAAATTTGATGGTTACGAGGGAGGGCAGGGATGAGGATGTAAAAATACTTGTTTTAAAGAAACAAAAGCAAAACTAAACTTATAAAAGATGCCCCAATATATAAACGAGCATGCCCTATGCGTGTTAACAGAAAAGTGTTGATTAAGAAATTGTTTCAGACCACTTTTACACCCAACCTTTGCATTTCAATCTTCTTCACACATGAGATTTGAGAGACTGTCAACCATTTAAAACACTTACTTGAATAGTGGTTCATTGGCGTGCTGGCACTGATGGACTTTCAGCTGCTGATGTTTCTTAAAGGTCTTCTCACAACCTTCAAAATCACACTGTATAGTAAAGGTTTGTTAGTCTTGAGGAAAATCAAAGAATCAACAGTACACAACAGAATCCGTCGAGATAAAACTATTTTAGAGATTATATACTCACTACTTTCACCCATTAAACAAAACCAAAATCGCTGCCATCGTCGAGTCGATTCTGACTCATAGCAACTCTATAGGACAGAGGAGAACTGCCCCAAAGGGCTTCCAAGGAGCGGCTGGTGGATTTGAACTGCCAACCTTTTGGTTAGCAGCAGAGCTCTTAACCACTGTGCCAACAGGGCCCCTTCACGCATTTAGTAACTATAAAATTCTACACTACGTCAAGAAGCTTTATGAAATCATAAAAGTTGAAAAAGCAAAAATGTGTCAGTTGGTATAGCCCACCAATAAACCAAGCCAGCTGCCGCTGAGTCGACAGGACTCACAGTGACCCCATGAGTGTCAGAGTAGAACTGTGCTCTGTAGGGTTTTCAATGGCTGATTTTTTGGAAGTAGACGGCCAGGCCTTTCTTTCAAGGGGCTTCTGGGTGGACTCAAACAGCCAGCCTTCTGGTTGGCAGCCAAGCATGTTAACTGTTTGCACCACCCAGGAACTCCAGTCCACCATAACACACTTTCACTAGCACAATAATGTTTGCTTTCAGAAGGAAACTACTGCTATGATGGCTAATGTCATTAAACTGAATTCAGCTATTTGACAAAATTTGGTTGATGGAAATTTTAGAAATATAGGCAAACGCATAAGAATATTCAGAAAACTTAAAGTATATAAAATCATTCATACTTACCACATACTGTCTGTGCTGATTTTCATGTTTGCGCTCGAAGTGTTTCTTCAAGTTTGATTTTGTGTTGAATTTCTGATCACAGCCACTAGCTTCACAACTGTAAGAATGTTTGGAATAATTAGCTTTTATAAAGTAGGAGGATAACTGAATTGTTTGGATTTTGGTTTTTAAACGTTCTTACAGGTAGTCCCCGACTTACAACATATTCGAGTTAGGACTAACCGCACTTAGGACCATCTGTTTTTGGTTTTATTTTGTATATCTTATCGTTAGTAATACGTACAACATACAATGTTGCAGTGTGTAATTTGCTGATGTTATCATTCTCAGATGTTCACTTGCAGATGTTCAATGTTATGATTTACTGATCAAAACACTGCAGTATAACAGACTATGGCTTGGTCTGCAGTGAAGTCTGTGCTGGTGTTGGGAGCTGTAATGGATAGAAAGTTGGGCAATGTTCAACCCTAACGACGTACAACAAGTGAACTGTGCGCGCACCCAATAGCTGTTATGACTCCAATTTCACTGTTACAACACTGACACCCACAAATAAACATCGGATTTACAAAGATACTGATAATAAAAGGAAATAATAATGAAAACTTGAAGAAAAAAAAAAAAAAGAAAGGTATCTGACTTATGTCAGAACCAACTTATGATGGAGTTGTTGGAACGGAACCTCGTCATAAGTCGGGGACTACCTGCAGAGCACAAAACAGTCTTTAACAAATTGCAAAGCATTAAACCATACCACATAAGCCTCTCAACCTTGATGTGATGTCATGTAATGAGATGTATTTCCATGTTAAACTGAAACCTGTTGCCTTGGAGTCGTTTCCAACCCATAAGGAGCCCTGGCGGCACAGTGGTTAAGCGCTTGGCTGCTAACAGAAACGTCAGCAGTTTGAACCCACCAGGTGTTCCGTGGGAGAGAGGTGGCGGTCTGTTCCCGTAAAGATAATAGCCTGGGAAATCCTATGGGGGCAGTTCTATTCTGTCCTATAGTGTCTCTATGAGTTGGAATTTCCATGTTAAATACTAAAAAATCAATCCCATTGCCGTCAAGTCAATTCCAACTCGTAGCATCTCTATAGTACAGGGTAGAACCGCCCCCTAGGGCTTCCAAGGCTGTTATCTTTACGAAGCAGACTGCCACATCTTTCTCCTGTGGAGCAGCTGGTGGATTTGATCCACTGACTTTTCGTTAGCAGCTGAGCGCTTAATCACTGTACCACCAGGGCTCTCCCCCCGCAATTAGGGGTGGCCCTATGGCAAAGTTCTGGCCAATGTGAAAAGCAGATTCATCCTGTTCAACTCCCAGAGCGTCCCTAAAAAAAGGGGGCACACCTCTCTTGCCCCTTCCTCCTTCCTGCTGGCTGGAACGCTTATGCACCAGCTGGAGCACAAACAACCATCTTAGCCCATGACGCTGAAGCTTCAAGTGAGGATGGCAGAGAAACAAGTCAAAGGCACCTTGGTCCCTGAGGACTGCAGAGTGGCCCTGGACAACTGCCTCTGCATTTCTGCACTTTGTTTATACAAGAGACCATCTTGTCTGAGCCTCTATGGTGCTGGGTTTCCCCCACTCTTGACCCTGATCCTGACACAGGCATCTAACCCAGCATAAGTGTAGAGCAGGACAGGCCAGGAAAAGTCCTGACAGGAACCCAACAGCAGGTGCAGGCGCATGGAAGACCCTGGTGAAATGGATACGGTGGGAGGGTCTGCTATTTAGTGAAGCATGGCTGGACCACCGTTTCATATCTGAGTCAAATAAATGTAAGACAAGCAGGAAAAGGCCAAATCACGAAGGGCATGTGCACAACACACTAAGACCCTGGACTTCACTGTGCAAGCCATGCTCAAAGCCGCTGCATGATTTTAAGAAGGGAAGTAATCTGGCAGATAACATGGAAGAGGGCCTGTCCAGAGACAGAGAGACAATGTCCGTAACTCTAGTGAGGAACCAAGCCAAACCTGTTGCCAGCAAGTCGATTCCCACTTACAGCAACCCTATAGGGTTTCCAAGGCTGTAGATCACTACGGATGCAGACGGCCACATCTTTCTCCCGAGGAGTGGCTCGCGGGTTCAAACTGCTGACCTTTTGGTTAGCAGCCGACCGCTTTAACCGCTGCGCCACCAGGGTTCCTTCCAGTGAGGAAGGAGGACCTGAGATAAGACAGAGGCAGCTGGAGTCCCTGGGTAGTGCAAATGGCGAACACACTCAGCTATTATTTGGAAGGTTCTACTCTGACACACGCTGGGTCGCCATGAGTCAGATTCAACCCCACAGCAACTGTTTTAGCTGGAGTAGAGGAGGGATCTGAGGTATAAGTAACAGAACTCGATGATCTATTTGTTGCACGGGGATGGGAGAGAAGACCGATGAGTCCAGGAGAACAGCCTTCTCTTTGGTCTGGGCCAATGATGGACAGTGAGGCCACTCCCCCAGACAGGAACCAAGGGAGAGTACGACCAAGGAGAAGGATGAGCTTGGTTTGGACCATGAGGCGCTATGGCCACGTGGAACCTAAGAAGCCACAGGGATGGCGAGTACAACACTGCCCAGCAAGCAGCTGGAGGTGGGATCCGGAGCTAGAGACATCTGGGCTGGAGAGAGCTGGAAGACGTCGCTGTCTAGCTGTCTTACTGCAGCAGGAATTACCCTAACCCTTTTGTTTTTAGTCCTATGCATCTGTGTCATTGTTGTTGGGTACCGCTGAGTTGATTCCGACTCATAGCAACCCCACATGACAGACTAGAACTGCCCCATAGGGTTTTCTAGGCCATAATCTTTACGGTCCAGGTCTTTCTCCCTCAGAGGCACTGGGTGGGTTCAAACCGCAAACCTTTTGGTTAGCAGCCGAGCACTTAACCATTGCGCCACTAGGGCTCCTTACCCAGGCCCATTTTCTCTTTTAAGATGTTTTAACAGTATACAATTACATAGTTCAGAAACCAAGAAGTCACACACGAACAAGCCACAGAGTTGCATAGGGTTCCCTCCCATCCCTGCCCCCTACCCAACCAGCACTCCCCCACCACTCCCAGTACAAGTAACAACTGTTTTTAGTTTCATCTGTAACTTTTGGGGTTTCTTTATGCAGATTTAAGCAAATATGGACTCTTCTTGTTCCCCGCTCCCTCCCGCCTTTATACACAAACAGGTAGCCCACTCTGCATGCTCTCCTGCACCTCTGTTACTCATTTAACACATCCTGGGTTTTTTTCCACAGTTCAGAGACCACCCACGTTCATTTTTCTAGTGTATAATTATCCACTGTGTTGAAATACTTTATCCAGTCCCCTACTGATGAGCACTTGAGCTGTTTCAGATATTTGGCTACTATTAATGTTGCAAATAACCTTGTATATAGCCTTTAATACAGGCACAGGGATATCTATAGAATAAACTCCCCAAAGTGAAACTTCAGGGTCAAAGACTATGTCCCAACCCTATTTCCCAAAGCACTTTAGTTACCCTTTGCTGGTCCACTTGAACTATATTTTGAAATAACTTCTGCTTAAGTGCTTGGCTGCTAACAGAAAGGTTGGAGGTCTGAACCCACTCAGTGGCTTCACGGAAGAAAGACCTGGCAATCTGCTCCCGTAAAGATTACAGCCTAGAAAACCCTATGGGGCAGTTCTACTCTGTCACATGGGGTTGCTATGAGTTGGGAGAGCCTTGACAGTATACAACAACATTTAGATGACACACTTTAACAGGGACTAGAATGATGACATCTGCTGTCTTCAGTACTTTGCCCCACTCCTGCTGGCTACATGTCGGTCATACAGGGCCTCGGTGATGGAGGCGGTGGCTCGCCACATGTAAAACGACAGTGAAGATTATTCTATGTCAAACACTCACCTACCTCGGACTGTCTGTGTGGAACTTTGGGAGATATGAGATACCTCATACTAACTGTAATCTTAAAACAAAAAAAAAATCAGCTCAGGTCATTAGAAAACCTTACTGCTCCACGAATTGTCATATGAAACAAAATTATGATATAAAATCCTAATATATGAAAGAACTGCTTTACAGCTATTTGCTGATGTCCAGAGCTATACATAGGAGACCATCTACTGAATTTGTTTTTTCTAATGAAAACTAAACTAAGTGTTTTCAGAAATTGAAGGTGGCTAATTGACTCCATGAACAACTTCCTCCTTCACCATGAGACCAGAAGAACTAGATGGTGCCCTCCTATCATTACTGAACATTGTGATCAAACACTCTTTAGAGGAATCCTGATTAAAATGGGGGAAAATGTGGAAAAGATTTCAAATTCTCATGGAATCCAGTCTTTTTGGAGTCACTGAGGCTGGATGAACCCCCAAAACTACTGCCCTGAGAAAATCTTTAAACCTCACACCAAAAATATCCCCTGAAGTCTTCTTTAAACCAAACAGTAGTTTAGCTTAACTGATAAACAGTGTCTGCCTTGAGTATTATGCTCTTTTAAGATCTATCTGTACGAGTCAAACTGAACAGTCACTCGAAAGATTAGACAGAAAACTTAGGGGCAATGAGTTTATGTTAATGGAGAAAGAACAATAGGAAATGGAGGGTGAAGATGGTTGTACAACTCAAAGAATGTAACCAATGTCACGGAAGTGTACATGCAGAAACTGCTGAATTGGTTATGTTTTGCTGTGTATATTCTTGACAACAACAAATAAAATTAATTAAAAACAAACACACACAAAAAAACCTAAGTGTTTTCACTGGAACATTTTGGGTAGTGGTTCTCAAAAGTGTTGGAAGCCAGACCAACAGCATCAGTATCACCTGAGAACTTGCTAGAAATGCAACTTCTCAGGCCTTACCCAACACCAACTGAATCAGAAACTCTGGGTGTGAGGCCCAGCAACCTGTAGTTTAATCAGCCTCTTGGTAATTCTGGTGCACCCTAAATTTGAAATCCACTGCTTTAGCAAGGCAGCTGAATTAAAGGAAAAGCTGTATCTCCACCCTTTCAGAAATGCTCGGCAACGCCTAGAACAAAATGAAAGCTTGTATGTTATTGGGACAAAAGCTTAATTCAAAAACTACAGGCTAAACTATTAAAAGCTCTCTTTCTTCATACTTTTATCTATTATCCCGGCAGCTGATCAATTCACAAACGCCTGACAATGTTGAGCCAAGAATATGCCTGCCAGCCATTTTCCATCCCTTCTGAACTCCATGTGCTTCTTGAAGTTGTTCCGCCATTTAGTATATTCGAAGGGGGATGAGAGGATGCTGAACTCCAGAGAACTTTAGATGAGCTCCTTCTTAATGGTATTACATACAAATTATCTACAACACACATGCAGAAACTATCCTCATCTTCCGTCAGAAGATAAAAATAAAAGCTTTACGTTATTGATCTAGTAAGCTAACGTATCAATTTTCTTACCATATCTATATGCCAACACAACTCAATTCACAGGCCCCCAAAACAGGTCTCTACTTACACAAATGGCTTTTCTCCAGTGTGGGTCAGGGTGTGGCGGCTCAGATGATAGTCCCTGATGAAGGCTTTCCTGCAGCCTTCATAGTCACAAACAAATGGTCTCTAGCAGGAAGAAGAGAAAACATATGTAAGCCTTGCCCTAGTTAGACAGCAAATGCTGGTCTTATTTAATGGCCCAAAATGTTTCAGAGGCAAAGCCATAAGTACCCCCGGTGGTGCAATGGTTTAAGCGCTTGGCTGCTAACCCAAAGATCAGCGGCTCAAAGCCACCAGCTGCTCTGTAGGAGAAAGACCCGGTGATCTGCTCTAGTAAAGATTTCAGCCTAGAAAACCCTATGGAGCAATTCTACTCTGTCATATGGGGTCATTATGAGTCAAAATTGACTCAACGGCATACAACAGGCAAAGCCATGGACTAGCATCACCAGAGAGTTTCCATTCTGTAAATGTGTTGGGTAGCTAGCCACTACACAAGCCAAGGCAACGAACGTTTTCCTGCATAAAGTTTCACAATAACACAAATGCCACAATTTCTCACAAAGTCACTCCAGCCAAATCCTCTAAATTACAAGGCAGCAGATTTTTGCTCTATGAATATCATCTGAAGTAAGCAGGCGGCCTTCAGAGTAATGGTGCAGCATGTTAACCTGTCCTAACCTGGCACCAGGCTTCAACAGCCAAAACCCTCTTAGAGATCACCTGTGTGCTAGTAGCACGGCCCATCTCCACGATCTCCACCTACCGTAGATCTAATCTGCCCAAAGCCAGGGCCAGAGGAACCAGCAGGTTTGCTCTCAGCCTAGACAAGCACTGGGTGTGCGCTTAGAGAATAGCAGGCACAGCTACAGGAGAAGGTGTCTCACCCACAACTCAGTCAACTGGCATAATACAGTTCATAAAGTTTATATCCTACATCCTGGTGAGTAGTGTCTGGGGTCTTAAAAGCTTTTGAGCAGCCATCTACAACTATTGGTCTCTACTCATCTGGATTAACAGAAAAAAGGAAACCAAAGACTCAGAGAAGAAACTAGTCTACAGGACAGTCTACACAAATCACATCTATCCTGAGACCAGAAGAACTAGATGGTGCCCGGCTCCCACCACTGACCATTCTGGTCAGGGACACAAAAGATGGACCCTGACAGAATGGGAGAAAAATGTGGAACTGAACCTGAAATTCTTAAAAAACTCAGAATTACTGGACTGGTTGAGACTAGAGCAAACTCCACGACTATTGCCCTGAGATACTCTTCAAACCTTCAACCGAGACTAGCCCCTAGGATCATTTTTTAGCTAAATTAACAGATTGGCTCACAAAATAAAGAATATCACCTGTGAGTACCGCGCTCCTTTAAAAAAATCTACATGAGACCAAACGGTCAACAATTACTTTAAAACAAAGATAAGAATGTAAGGGGGCAGGGAAACTAGATTAATGAACACGAACAAGCAGATCAGAAATGAGAAGGTTCACACATTGTGAAGAATGTAACCAATGTCACTGAACAACTTGTGTAGAAATTGTTGAATGGGAACCTAAACTGCTGTGCAAACCTTCACTAAAAATACAGTAAAATATTATTTTAACAAAAGGTGTCACGCCTGACAGACCTCACAGGTGCCTGGCCAAGCAAAGGAAACAAAGAGCTCACAACCCTAACTGCAACCACTTGGAACCCAGGAGTTGGGAAGAGTGCTCCATTCTGAACCTACAGGGAAAGCCAAAACACTTCCCAGATAAGCCGTTTTGCTTCTCTCACCATGGAAAGCATACGACTGCAGATAAGGTGGTGGCGCTGAGAGCACAGCGGTCCAGGAGGGAGGTAAGGAGGCCTCTGACAGCTGTACTCCAGTACTCTGGAAAGGTGTCTGTGGTGGTGGGACTCAAACCAGGCATATATTTACAGACTATGAGGCGGCGCAGATTCAGAATAAAAGAAGGGGAAAGGGCTGTTTATTAAGACCTAAGCCCATGTCAAGGGTGTCGTGATCCTAGAACATGGTCTCTCGACCACTTGCTCAGTTCTGCTTCAATAGTTAGGGGTCAAAACTGAACACATCTGGAAAAGGAGCCCTGGTGGCGCAGTCGTTAAGAGCTCAGCTGCTAACCAAAAGGTCAGCAGTTTGAATCCACCAGTCGCTCCTTGGAAACCCTACCCGGCAGTTCTGCTCTGTCCTGTAGGGTCGCTGTGAGTTGGAATTGACTCAACAGCAACAGGTTTGTTTTTTTGGTTTGGGGAGCACAAACGGTTAACGTCCTAGGCTGCTAACCAAAAGCTTGGAGGGTCAGTCCACCCAGAGGCACCTCAGAAGAAAGGCCTGGCGATCTACTTCCAAAAAAATCAGCCACTGAAAGCCCTATGGAGCAGTTCTATCCAACACATGAGAGTTGGAAACCACTGCAAGCAACTGGTAGTTTCTGGCCTCGGGCACAAAGCAGGACTTGTGAGCCCACCTGGCGTGCCACCGGCGTATCGCTAGTTCCCGGGAACTGGCCGCCACGCCCATGCGGCCTACGCGCTCCCGGGGTGGGGGTGGGCACCCCAGCCGCCCACCTGCCGGGGCCGCGTTACCTCCCCCGTGTGCTTGCACAGGTGCGCGTCTAGCTTCCAGGCCTTGTTGTAATTGGCGCTGCAATCCGGAAACGAGCAGATGAACCTCCTAGGGACCACGCGGGGCAGCAGGGCGAGGGCTGGGCCCTCGCTGGCAGCCGTGAACGCGTCAGCGATGGTCAGGGACGACACTGCCTCGGCAACAGAGGCCGGCGGCTCCAGGGCGCCACGATCTCAGCGCCCCAGCCAGGCGCGCAGCCACGTGCGGCGGAGGGATGCGCGCAGCAAGCTCTCAGGCCGACCTACGCGCGGCGCGCGCGGCTCGGCGCACTTCCGGGTCCGCGGCAGGCGGCGGGGCGGGTGGAGCGCGCAAGGAGCGGGTCCGGCCTCGCCGGGCGCCTCGCGCTGCGCATGCTTGAGGAGGCCCCGCCCCGGGGCCCGCCCCAGCTGAGTGAGTTGGGGACACCGGTGCGAGAGGAGCTGGGCGTTGTGGCGAGGAGAAGGCAGCGGACACTTTGGAGTTCCTCCTAACAGAGAAGCGCTCCTCCCGAGCAGTATAGATCCCAAGGCATTGTTTACTGTGACATGTTTCCCATTTCCACCACCCTCTTCAAAGTACTAACCTTGCGTTTAAACTGGTCTGTTCTTATCACGTTATCAGTTTCTCTACTTTGTTGCTGCTGAGTGCGGTTGAGTCGATTCGAACTCACAGCAACCCTATAAAACAGAGTAGAATTGTCCCATTGGGTTTCCAAGGCTGTTATCTTTACGGAAGCAGACTGCCACGTCTTTCTGCGGGCTGCTGGTGGGTTGGAACCTCCAACCGTTTGGTTAGCAGCTGAGGGCTTCACCATTGGGCCACCAGGGCTCCTTCTTGCCTCCTTTAGGAATTCATTTTCTTGCAAGCTTTCTACATACTTCTTCCGTAAGCCCCAGGACAAAACCAAAACCAAACCCTGTGGGGCAGTTCTACTCTGTCATATAGGACCGCTATGCAATAGACTTAATAGCAACAGTTTTGGAATCTTTAAGGAAGGTCCCTGCGAGGCAAGAACGAATTGCACCCATCTACTGTCTAAAGGTTCAAACTCGCCAATGGCGCTGCAGAAGAAAGGCCTGGTGATCTCCTGTAAAGATTGCAGCCAAGAAAACCCTATGCAGCAGTTCTATTCTGTAATACATAGGATTGCCATGAGTCAGAATTGACTTGATGGCAATTTTTTAAAAAAATATCTTTAAGGAAGCAGATCTCCAGGCCCTTCTTCCGTGGCACAGCTAAGTGAGTCTGAAACACTAGCCTTTAGGTTAGTAGTCAAACACAGACTCAGCCACACGACAGTGGTTCCTAAATTTGTCTGCACATTAGAATCATGTGGTAATATTTTAAAAATGCCAAACCCGGGGGGAATACTCCAGAGCAATGAAATCTGCAATCGCTACAAGTGGGGCCCAGGTATCAGTAGTTTTAGAAACTCTCAAGGTGATTCCAACATGCAGAAAAGATTGCAAGCACTGCCCTAAAGCTTTGCTACTCAAAGTAGCATCAGCAATATCTGGGAGCTTGTGAGGAATCAGAATCTCAGGCCCACCTCAGACACCCCATGAAGCAGCGAGCTGGCTCTCCAGATGATTTGATGCGTATTAAAATCTGAGAAGCACTGTTAGAAGTGTGAATGAGTATGGTAGCCTGCTTTATTGGGACTACATATTTCAAGGGTGTCCTTGGGTGAGGGTAACACCGACAGGATGGCTCGTCTGATGTCCTGCCAGATAAGTATTTCTCACATTCCAAGTCCTCTCAAATCATTAAACAAGCCCTGCTCTGAACATGATTAACAAGTCCCTGGTGGTGCAGAGGTGAAGCGCTTAGCTGCTAACTGAAAGGTCGATGGTTCGAACCCACCAGCCTTTCCGTGGGAGAAATATGTGGCAGTCTGCTTCCATAAAGATAACAGCCTTGGAAACCTTATGGGGCAGTTCTACTCTTCCCTACAGGGATAACGAGTCAGAATTGACTCGTTGGCAATTTTTTTTTTTTTTTTTTTTTTTGTGGCAGACAGGTGCAATTTTGAAAACAAGCCAGGGCTTAACAATCAGCCCTGAACTTGGACCTTACTTCATGCTCACTCCTGAGCCTCACTGCCTCATCTATAAGGTGGGAGCAATGATAACAACGGTTGTCTCACAGGGGTGTCAGGAGGATGGCGAGAGGCTGTTTGTGACATGCTCACCTTTGCTGTTCCCCTTCTTTGCTGCTCCAGCCTTTCCTGGGGAAGAAGTCCACACACGTCCCTCCTACACCTCTGGAAGTCTTAAGCAGTTTCCCTTGTGTTAGTTCTGGCTTCCTCCTCCCCATGTCCACTGGCCTCTGGGCCCCATACAGTACACCTGTGGCTCTCCTCCTGCCTCCCTCATGTCTCCTGTTGCCTTGGCCAATTGTTGTTCTTCTGACTTTCAGAGCATGGTACTTAGGTTTTCATGCTCTGCTCTTGGCTGTGACGTTTTGAAGTGGGGAGAGCAGGGTTTTGAGCCTCAGTCACCTGATTTCGTATTCTAATTCTTAACTTACTAACTGTAGGGTCTTGGATAGGAGCCCTGCTGGTGCAATGGTTAAGCCCTCAGCTGCTAACTGAGAGGTTAGCAGTTCAAACTCACCCAGTGGCTCTGCAGGAGAAAGACCTGGTGATCTGCTCCCATAAAGAGTCCCGTAAAAAAAAAATAAACCTGTTGACATCAAGTCAGTTCCGACTATTAGTGACCTATAAAGATTACAACCTAGAAAACCCTGTGGGGCAGTTCTACTCTGTCCTGTAGGGTAGCTATTGGTCCAAATTGACTCGATGTCTACAGGTTTGGTTTAGTTTTCCGGTTTAACCTTTATGGGAGCAGACTGCTACATCTTTGTCCCGTGGAACTGCTGGTGGATTCAAACCACCAACTTTTCTATTAGCAGCCAAGTGCTTAACCATTTTGCCACCAGGGTTCCTATCATCATCATCAACATTATTACTAAAGAAAAATTTAAGCATACACAAACATAGATCAATAGTACAATGAACCCCTATGGACCCATCTATCACCCAGCTTCATTAACCATCTTTTTTTTTTTTGGCATTCTTGTTTCATCTGACTGACTCTATTCCCAACCTCTGCTGACTTTTTTTTCTGGAATATTTTAAATCAGTCCCATATCATCTCATTTTACTGTTAAATACTTTGATAAATATCTCTAACAAAAAATATGGGTTTGTGTGCATGTATGTGTGTGTACATCTTTAATTCTATTATCATACCTAAGAAAATGCACAATAGTTCCTGAAAATTATCTAATACTCACAGCCCCTCCAAATCAGCATATTCAGAACTGCTGTCCTCTTCCCCTACCCCTCCTCCATGGTCTTCTTGTCTCGGTGAATGATGCCACCATCCACCCAGCTGCCACAGACCTGACTTAGTCTATGGCTTCTTCCCTTCCCTTACTCCCTGCGTTTATTAAACGGTCCATCACTGTGGATTTTACGTCCCCATCTTCAGTTATACCCAAGTGAGTCCCTGGTCCTTCTAGTTCCCATGGTGTGTTGTGAGTTTGTCAGAGAAGGAGTGGTCAGGGCTCAGATCAGTCCATTCTCCAACCATGTGGAGAGCATTCTGCTCAGGGGCTCTTCTCCCCAAAACCTCTCCAGATCTCCCCAATTATCCCATCAAAAACCTTAGCCTTTCTAAGACCATCTGAACTGCTCTGATTTTTATCAGGAGTAGAGCATAAAAACCCAAACCCATGGCCGTGGAGTCTATCTTAACTCATAGCAACCCTATAGGACAGAGTAGAACTGCCCCATAGGGTTTCCAAGGCTGTAATCTTTATGGAAACAGACTGCCACATCTTTCTGCTGTGGGGCAGCTGGTGGATCTGAATGGCTGACATTTTGGTTAGCAGCAGAGAGTTTTAACCACTGCACCATCAGAGCTCCTTAGGCGTAGAGCAAATAGAAGGCCAAATTAGCCTCCCCTCTCACCACAACCCACCCAACAAGTGCAGGAGAATTAACTTCAGAAAGAAGTTGCATAAAATGGAGAGCTAAAGTCCCCTCCAGCTCTAACGTTCTATGATTCTGTGACAGGAGAATCATAGAATGTTATCTTCGTGTCATCTGCCCAATGGGGAACCAGTGAGAGGTGTTTTGAGTCAGAGCCTGCAGGATAAATGTGATACTTCGGCTCAAACATTCCATGATTCTATGATAAGAAAGAGGGAGATAGTGATACATTTCAGAGCTAAAGTCTGACAGGACAAATATGGTGCTAAAGAAAAAGAGCATGTACAGCAGGATTAGAATGGAGAGTCCTGAAGTCAGGGAGGCCAGCTAAGAGACCACTAGAATCAGCAGAGGGGAAGGTCTGGACTCAAGGGGGTGACAATGGGACTAGAATAAAGGGGACATACAGGTGAAAAGGCAATTTGGTGAGGGTGGTTAGAAGCATGGATGGGTTTGGAGTTTGGCAAACCAAACTTTTTTTTTTAATAGTTTATTTTTGTTATTGTTGTCGAAAATATACACAACAGAACATATACCAATTCAACAGTCTCTACGTGTACAATTCAGTGACATTGATTACATTCTTCAAGTTGTGCAACCATTCTCACCCTCCTTTTCCAAATTGTTCCTCCCCTGTTAACATAAACTCATTGCCCCCTAAGCTTCCTATCTAATCTTTTGAGTTGCTATTGTCAATTAGATCCCATATAGATAGTTCCTGAAAGAGCACAATGCTCAAGGCAGACATTCTTTACTAGTTACACTAAAATATTATTTGGTTTTAAGAAAGACTTCAGGGAATATTTTTGGTTTAAGGTTTAAAGATTATCTCAGGGCAATAGTTTCAGGGGTTCATCTCAGCTCCAGAAAGTCCGGATTCCATGATAATTTGAAATTCTCTTCCATATTTTCCTCCTTTTGATCAAGATTGGAAGATCAGACTTTGAATTCTGGCTCTGCCATTGACTATTTGACCTTACTCCAGTTATTAATCTCCCTCAACTCCCTGTTATCTGCACAATGGGGATAATTATATCTATGCTACATGTTGTTGTGAGGATGAAATGAAATTATTAATTCATGTGAGGCTTAGCACAGGGCTTGGCATAGAGTAAGTACTCAAAAAATAGCAGCCTTTATCTTTTCCCCACCTGCTACTGTTTTATGCCTTCCATCCTTAAACTAGACTTGTAGTTGACAGACTTCTAAGATGGCCCCTAGTTATCCCCACTTCCTGGTGTTCATGTCCTGTGCAAGTACCCTTCCCTGTCAGTGTGGACTGGAACTAGTGACTCGCTTCTAACCAACAGAAGGCAGCAAAGGTGATGGGATATGATTAGATTACAAAAGATGTGACTTCCTTCTTGCTGGTAGAATCTCCTTTATTACCTTTCTGGCTCGCACACTTTGATGAAGCAAGCTGCCATGTTGGAGAGGCCCATGTAGCAAGAAACTGAGGGTGGCCTCTGGCCAACAGCCAGCAAGGAACCGAGACCCTCAATCCAACAGCCTAGAAGAAGTGCATTTTACCAACAACCATGTGAGTTTGGAAGCAGATCCTTCCAGATGAGACTCTAGAGGTGGGTGACACCTTGAATGTGCCTGAGAGAGACACTGAGGAGAGGACCCATCTGAGCCATGCCCAGACACAGCACCCACAGAAACTGTGAGATAATAAATGTGCGTTGGTTTAAGGCACTAAGGTTGGGGTAATTTGTTACACAGCATAACTAATACATAGAGTCCAATTCTTTAATTCCCCAAGGTGACTCTAGACCTAGCTGTCCTGAACTCACACTAAGAAGAGAGCATTTGATCAAAGGGAGTTCTGGCAGGAGAGGGTGGGCTGAGGTGGGCTCTGAATCCAGCCATTTCATAAGGTTTTCTCTAACCAGAAATCAGATACACGGTGTGTGACAAGAAAGAGTGTAAGTGATAACTACAAAATACCTCAAATGTGGACTGTCTTGGAAAACATTCAATGTGTGGTCCCTCTTATTCCAATTTTACTCTGATCTCCAACTTTTAACTTCTCCCAGATTGGTCCAGCATAGCCAAGGTGGTTAGCTAGGCCCACTGTACTTGAGGGTTAGGCAAAGAACATCCCTGGAAAACACCTTTGAAGTAAAGAAGCAGAAACGCATACTCAGCTTCTTCTTTCATAGGCAACATGGTATGGTACAAAGACCTTTGGATGGGGCCATGAACTACTGGTGGCGCAGCAGTTAATAACGTGGCTGCTAACCAAAAGGTCAGCCTTTTGAATCCACCAGCCACTTCTTGGAAACCCTATGAGGCAGTTCTACTCTGCCCTATAGGGTTGCTATGAATTCGACTCAACAGCAACGGGTTACTTGAGTATAAGGAGCTCTGGCCTCACAATGGTTAAGCACTCAGTTGCTAACTGAAAGGTTGGTGGTTTGAGCCCACAGTCAGAGGGAGAAAGACCTGGTGATCTGCTTCTGTAAAGATTACAGTCTAGAAAACCCTATGGGGCAGTTCTACTCTGTCCTATAGGGTTGCTATGAGTTGGAATTGATTTGACAGCACACGACAACACTCAAGTATGACTTTGGCCAACTGTAGTTGCCTCATCTACAAAACAGAAACCCTGCAGCCCTGTGTATAACGGAACTGAATGTTGTCAGGTCCTGCACCATCCTCATAATACAGGCAGTCCCCAACTTCCAATGTATTGGAGGTACCACAATCTGCATTTATACCACTGTCCTTTTTTTTTTTTTTTTTGTACATCTTATCGTTAGTAATATGTACTAGTAGTAGGTATGTTTGAGTCCATTGTTGCAGCCACTGTGTCAATTCATCCCGTTGAGGGTCTTCCTGTTTTTCACTGACCCTCTTCCAAGCCTGTTATATATACATATATACACACACATGCATATATTTATATATATATATATTTTACAATTAAAAAAATAAAAATATTGTCTCCACTGTGCTTCCGGATTGAGCAAGATTCTGTGCCCGGCCACATTGCCGCTACACCTCCCTGCAGTCCCTCAGGAAGCCTCTAGGAGTCGCTGGTGGTCTAACCACCCACATAGAACAGGCCCCCCCCTTAGGGATCATTTTTGTTCTTGGTCCTCTCTAGCTGTACACTGTCCTCTGATTTCTCACTCTCTGCCAGCATCTGATCTTTGTTCCCCATGACTGCCTTGGGCTTTCAGTCATCTAGAATCCCCTGCTGGACTGTGTTGCGACATGGCGCCATTCGCCTGTGTGATTGTCAGCGCTTCCAGCAGTTTCGGTTGGGCTCCCTTCACTAGCCCTCCCCTGATTTGGTGGGAGTATCACACGTTCCAGTGGCTGTGATTGTCTGGTGTGGGAAGCGCCGCGGGCCAGGGCCTAATCACTTGCAGCCACTTCAAACCCATTTTAGGCTGGAGGAGCCGGATTCCACCTAGGGAGCTGGGCCTAATTGCTGTCTGATTGCCCACGGGGTCAGGTGTGCGGATGTGCACAGCGTTTCCATCTACGGCATGTGCAAGGTTGTTGTATTTGATAATTCCCTTTGGCTAGCTTTCTCTCTGACGCGCCAGAGATGGCCCCAGCAGAGGTGAGCAGGCACCTTCCTGGAGTCCTGGCCCCCCGTTCTGGGTGGCTTCTGGATTTACTCTATAGTGAACTGCATCAGTTCTCTGCCCCTCCACTGCTGCCATCTCTGCCCAGCCAGCCACTTTGTTTGGTGTCGGTCATCCAGCAAGGAGCTTTGGTGGCGCAATGGTTAAGTGCTGAGCTGCTAACTGAAAGGTTGGCTGTTCGAATCCACCCAGCAACTCTGTGGAAGAAAGACCTGACGATCCGCTTCTGTAAATATTATTGCCAAGAAAACCCTACGGGGCAGTTCTACTCTATTACAGGGGGTCGGCTAGGAATGAGAATCGACCCCACGGCACCCAAAAAACTGCATCAGTGCGCCCTCTTCCGGACCTTCCTCCGCCAGTGGTCTCAGTGGCTGCCCTTAGCCCTTAGGGTAAAATCCCCCTTTCATCTTCACTCCTGCAAGTCTCAGGGGACCTGGCATTTCTCTCTGCCCCATTTCACATCACATCGGCACAAGCCCCCTCCACTCTGTCCTATTACTCAGACATGCCCGCCTCTTACACTCAGACTTTCCCATGTCCGTTTCTCTTGTTTTGTTCACTCTCTCCTTCCTGCCCCTGCCTTCCCTCAAAACTACAAATGCCTGCCAATTCCGTCAGGTGGCGGCTGGACCTCCTCCAGTAGGCCACGTGCCCCAGCTCTATATACCCCACAATACCCTGCACCTGCCTTCCTTTAACGCACTTCACTGCAGTTGTTGGTTTCATTTATCTTTGCTGAGAGTGTGCAAGTGTCAGACAAGACCAGGTATCTTATTCAGATTGTATCTCTGGCGCCTAGAAAAAGGCCTTAAAAAAAAAAAAACAAAAAAACCCGTTGCCGTGAAGTCCGTTCCGACTCATAGTGACCCTATTGGACAGAGTAGAACTGCCCCATAGGGTTTCCAAGGAAAGGCTGGTGGATTCGAACCGCTGACCTTTGGTTGGCAGCCGGGCTCTTAACCACTGCTCTACCAGGACCTAGCACATGGTAAAACTTGCTCCAGACACAGACTCATGGCGACCCCACTTGTGTCAGTGTAGAAATGTGCTCAACAGGGTTTTCAACAGCTTGTATTTCAGCAGTAGATCACCAGGTCTTTCTTCTGAGATGCCTCTGGGTAGACTCGAACTGCCAACCTTTCTGTTAGCAGCTGAGCACATGGACCGTTTGCACCACCCAAAAACCAGTAAATATTTGTCTGAATCAAATACATTTCCTACCACTGCTATGAAGGGGCAGAAATAGCAATATATTTTCTTTGCTCAAACATCTATTGCTCTAGATAACATCTTTCATGGACATTAATTTTTGTCTTGGACGGAAGACTTAATTATGCCAATGATTTTTTTTTTTTTAATTTTTCTCCCATCTTCACAAATTCTCTGTGTTCTGTAACTTCGCTTAGAAATACCACTAGTCCTCCACCCCTTTTTCACTCAATCACTTTGTGTCAATTTCTGGCCAGTTTCTATACTAACTGTATCATCTCATTTAACCCTCCCCCAAAGTTTGTGAGGCAGGCATTATTATTCCTATTCACAGATGAGGATGCGGAGCCCCGGGAAGGGGTGGTATATCTGCAGACTGTCTGAGGGACCCCACCACCTGCCTACCTATCCCAAGGCCCCAAACCTCTAGGAGGTAACTGGCCCCACATCTGTGGGTTTCATATGGTCCTGTTGAGTTCTCCCCTTAGTGATTTAAGAGCAGTATCTATTTATCAACTGCATCATCTCATTTTAGAGTGAAACATTTACCTTTCTTTTTAAAAAAATTTTTATTGTGGTGAAATATACAGATGTTCGAGAATCATTGGTACTACCTACCTTATAGAACTCTGCAAGGGCGTGTCAGCTTTTAAAATCATCTTTGTTATATCTGTTCACTCAAAAAATACTAACTACCCCCGCTTAGAGAGCAAGGGTCCAAAGGCTACAGTGCTCTGTTACAGAGCTGGAGTAACGTCTTATCCAACAGCCCAGATACGCAGGCAACCCTGCAGGGGGTCTATGCGCTCACCTCGTGTGTCTGAACTCCGATTTTTTTTTTTATTGTACTTTAAGTAAAACGTTACAGCTCAAGTTAAGCTCTCATACAAAATTTTATACCCATATAGTCATGTGATGCTAGTTGCAATCCCTACAATGTGGCAGCAAACTCCCCCTTTCCACCCCAGGTTTCCTGTGTCCATCGAACCAGTTCCTGTCCCTGTCTTCTCATCCTGCCTCAGGACAGGAGCCGCCCCTTTGGTCTCCTGTATCTGCTTGAACTAAGAAGCACACTCTTCAAGAGTATTATTTTATGTTTTATAGTCCAGTCTAATCTTTGTCTGAAGAGTGGTCTTCGGGAATGGTTTTAGTTCTGAGTTAACAGAGTGTCTGGGGGCCATGGCTTTAGGGGTTCCTCCAGTCTCAGTCAAACCTTTAAGTCTGGTCTTTTTATTGAATTTGATGAACTCTGAATTTTTTTAAGTAATTTATTTTATTTTTGTTGTTGTTGAGAATATACACAGCAGAACATACACCAATTCAACAATTTCTACATGTGCAATTCAGTGATGTTAGTTATATTCTTCGAGTTGTGCAACCATTCTTGCCCTCCTTTACCAAATTGCTCCTCCCCCATTAACCTAAACTCACTACCCCCTAAGTTTCCTATCTAATCTTTCCAGTAGCTGTTGTCAGTTTGATCTCATATAGATAGATTTTAAGAGAGCACAATGCTCAAGGCAGACATTCTTTACCAATTAAGCTAAAGTTTGGTTTAAAGATTTCAGGGGATATTTTTGGTTTAAGGTTTAAAGATTATCTCGTGGCAATAATGAGGGGTTCATCCA